TTACTATTCGCCACACCTCCCTCAACCAGGGTGAGTATCATTCCATAAACATGTCTGCATTGTGAGCCACTGTTCAATCTTCTTCCCAGTAGGGATGCACTGATTAGTATATTTGACTCCCTTAGATTACCACCCTTTTTTTTTTAAACTTGCTTTTAGTTTTCGTTGATCATTTCAAAAGTGATTTAGATTTGGATATGTCTGGCTCCCACACCCAACATCAAATTTGATTCGTAGACACGGAAAGTATGCAAACTCACAAATTCAAATTGACATTTATGTAAAATGCCAAAGAAAACAAAATATGCCATGTACTTGAATACAAACCAGTTTGTTATTGAACATAATGGATTAATTCAATACTGCAACCCAGTCCTTAAATATTGCTGTGACAAAATATCAATTCGTACCATCCATTTACAGACTTTTTTGGCACTTGAAAATTGGACTTCTACTTGCTTGTTAATTAGCAGAGGTGTGGACTCGAGTCACATGACTTGGACTCGAGTCAGACTCGAGTCACCAATTTGATGACTTTGGACTCGACTTGACAAAATCACAAAACACTTGCGACTCGACTTGGACTTGAACACCAATGACTCGGGACTTGACTTGGACTTGAGCCTTCTGACTTGAGGTGACTTGATCATTTAATTCAGGGGTCTCCAACACGCCGATCGCGAGCTGCCGTTAGAAGAGCAGACTCCCGTCGGGGAGAGCAGAATCTCCAGCCGCTGCAACTCTTGCTGTGAATCCATGCAGGCAGGGGCGGGACTTTATTTTGCTGAGCCACAATGCGGCCAATCATATGCGAGGACACACTAGGATCATACCATTATGTGAAAGAAGGGTGGGGGGCAGACGCTCCAAAGACAGCAGGTGTAGTGGTACAGGCCAGCTACAGAGCCACCGGGAGACGGGGAGCCGGATTTAAATGCAAGCGCGTCGGAAAAAGTCAAGAAATTTGCGAAAACCGAAAAAAGAAGCAGCATCTGGCTGCATTTCAATGATATTGGAGAAAGCTAAGCTGAGTGCAGGATTTGTAAAATGAAAATAACCTTCAGAGCAGGGGTTTTTTTTGGTAACCACTCAGGATTTATTGCCAGAGGTGGGAGAAGTTCAGATCTTGTACTTGAGTAAAAGTACCAGAGTGTAGGAATACTCGGTTACAATAAAAAGTCCTGCATTCAAAATGTTACTCAAGTAAAAGTAGAAAAGTATTATCATCAAAATATACTTAAAGTACCACCTGCAGAGGTATGTAGATTCAGGTTTTTTTCCCCATAGAGACGCCTCGCTGCACATTATCCCTTGCATAAAGATAGATTGTGTCCCTTATAACATGTTATACACAGTGGAAATAAACATTCTGGTCACCTCAACATCAGCGCTCTTATGCATTGAACTCCTTCTGAATCAAACCGTCACGGTAGCCTAACCTTACTGATCCCTCTTACAATAGAAGAAAACACGTTACTTTACCAGCAGAGAGAAAATGGATTATTAAATGATTAATGTGACTAATAAAGAGCAGTTTGATTATTAAGTATTATTCTGTTGATCGATGTCATTACATTTGTTGAAAAGCACTTGTTTAAGACTCGTTTTGTCAAAGTTTAGGACTTGGACTTGACTTGAACTTGCCCATCCTGACTTGAGACTTGACTTGGACTTGAGCGCAAAGACTTGAGACTTGACTCGGACTTGCAAAACAATGACTTGGTCCCACCTCTGTTAATTAGTTTTACACCAAATTGACACATGTAAAAGGACATTTAGTACTAATTGTGTTAATTGTTTCTCTGATCTATTTTAGCCTGATTGACCCACTGTTCAGATACAAAGACAATCCTTATTCTTTTAGTGAGTCAGGTCAAAAGTAAAACAGTCTACAGCACTCTCACTCCTTCAAGACATTCTGAAACTCTCTCTTCTTTAACACAGTGAAACTATTAAAGTGGTACGATGCAGATATCCTTGACAGGAGAGCAAAGAAAGAGACACTCCTCTCTGCCAAACTGAAGAATAGTAAATTGCATAACAGAGCCAAAAATAGCAACCTCCAATGTTTGCTTTAGCTTAAGTATTGTTAGTCAAAAGAGACATGTCATTCAATCAGGGTCATGACCTTTGACATGTTAAACATACAACAGGCTGTTGCTACTGCCTCAGGACACTGACAGCCCTTACCAACACCTTCTGGCTGAAGGGCTGGTTGTTCTTGAAAAGTGTATCACTTCAGCTGAAGAACATGAATAGTTGCTTTAATATATATTTTTGGCAGAATTACATTAGCAATAATATTTTAAGCAAGTGTCTAAATCTTCCTAAGAGTGCTGTGTCTGTTGCATGTGTTTGTAGTCTCGATCCAATGCATTGCAATTACATGAGGTTCTGGAATTACATTTCACTGTATGCCATTTTAATAATAATAATAATAATAATAATAATAATAATAACTTGGATTTATATAGCGCCTTTCATGAGACCCAAGGTCGCTTTACAAGGAAGAACAGGAGTAGAAACAAACATAGCAAAAACAAAAGACAAAACAACAAATAGATTTGGGGGCAAAGGCCTTGGCAGACAGATGGGACTTGAGGGCCCTTGTGAAGGCGTCAAGCGTGGGGATGTTGCGGATCTCCGCAGGGAGAGCGTTCCAGAGGGTGGGGGCTGACATCCTGAAGGCTCTATCCCGAAGGTTCGCAGGTTGGTGCAGGGGACCAGAGTCTGAAGACCGCAGGTTCCGGGGTAGGGCATGTGGGAAGAACAGCGAGCCTTCCAGCAGCTAGCACCATTAGCCTGGTAGAAACCGGACCTCGAACCTCAGCAGCGGTGAAACAGCCCAGTTGAGATGGCAGGACTGAGGGAGGGTTCGTGGATGGTCCTCCTGGGAGTGTGGCAGAAAGGAGCCCAGTCGGGGGAATTCAGGAGCGGGGATTCCACGGATAGCAGAGCACGACGGTGAGCTCGTTTTGCTAATGGCAGGACGGCAGAGGCTAGGAGCTAAACAGCAGCCAAACATAATCGGCTGAGCAACGGAGATGGCAGAAACACAAAACCAGAGCAGAACACTCTTTTCGCTGTGTATGCGAAAAATAATTGACGGCAGGGAGTGATAGACACGAGGAATAAGCGTCGGCAAGATTTGAACTTAAAAAACCCTAAAAGCAATATTCTTAAATTCAAATTCATTGACAACATAAAATGTTAAAAAAAGTATGAGAGTACAAAAGAAGTGCAAGTAGCTTAAAGGTGCGAACTATATACTCTCTCCAGCAGCAACAAGACAAATGCTAACACACTTTTCACATTCAACAAGTTAAGCTTTTCTGACATGTGCGTAGAAAAGAAACTGAACCTTTGTCAGATGTCAACCACCCCTTTTTCTTTATTCAACCTTTTCCTGTCACTCACTGCAAAACATCTTCCTTTTTATAGCAGTGTGCCCTGGAGCAAGGCGACGAGGCCGCGGTATGAAAGGGAACGTGGCCCCCAGCTCTTCATCCGAGGCCCGGGTCAGAGCGGGGAGCTACAGTAGTAATTACTGAGAGACTGATTGCTGACAGGACCTTCCAACAGCCTGTGGTTAACTGGATGGAGCTGAGGGGGAGGAAGCTTCAAATGCACAGGCATGACAGACGCTCTGCTGATGACTTGTACTTCGGGGTGGTTCAGGGGCATGCATGCCATTTAGCTCTATTCATTCTCCTTTGTAAAATGTTATACTATTCAACTTTAGAAACATTTGCCTTTTTTGGAGGAAGAATGGGGAGAAGTCACAGCAGGGGGGAGTGCAAATTACCCTTTAAAATTGTATTAATTCATTTTGTAAAAAAATCATTGTTTACGGTGCTCTACTGAACATCTTTGGAAATTGAGAGGTGCCATTCAAAGGTTCTTCTCCTTTATTCAAAAATCTCCCCTGCCCATTTTTAAGATTAGATGTATTTTGTTTCAAATGGCAGTTATTTTTTGAAGTGAAACTCAAGAGACAAGTTCCCCTCAAACAGATTTGAACCCACTTCACTGACAGAGTGGGAGGAATGTGTGATGGCGGCAGGCGAAGCTGCACCACAACTGGTTCACTGCACCATGTTTCAACTGGATTATGCCAGTTTCTTCCTCAGGGTGGTCATTTGAGAGTCCTTTGGATCATTCATCATGAGCATATGGATGTTTCAACATGGTATTTTAGCCAACCAATCTGTGCCATCCATGCGTCTGGTTGATTTAGCTGTGGTGGCGGAGATGACTGTATTTAATCTGGACATAACTGTTTGTTTCAGTGAAGAAGTGACTGCAGTTGCTGGATCAGGGTTTTCCCAAGTGTAAAGTCAACTCAATGGCGTTGGATCACAGCTAAACTTGTGGGGAAGAGCTTTCCATATTTTCAGAAACAAGGGCTATCAGAGGAAAAGAGTAATGTCCTAGCTACATTTCAAGAGAAAATGTGGGTTTGCAATATCGATATTCCAAAGCAATTTTTTTAAAGTTTTACCCAAGAAGAGATTGGTTTTGCTGTAGAACTAATAATGAATCCTGACATGGTTCCATACATTTAACCTTGACATGTTGTTTAACTAGAAGGTCTCAGTTTCAACCAGATACATGTGCATAGTCATAATATAACTACATGCATACATAAATAAGGCAAAGGTGTAGGGTTAAATCCAAGCCATTTTAAAGCCTTTACAAGAAAACTTGAAATTGGGAAATGTTTCAGGAATTTAAAAGCCAGAAGAGGAATTTATGGGTTTAGCTACTGGGTCATAAAAGTTGTAGATCATGCCAATGTTCAGCAAACCCAACAACCAGACATTACGCTGGAATCTGACCATTTATGACAATTCAGCAAAGCCACAGCAAATAACAGACAGCAAGTCAAGTGGAGCAAAACTGTGAGCTTGTGTGGGCCAAACAGAGGCTGCATTTCATTAAACACATTTTGTGTACAATGTATGCCCGTGTCATCGAACCAAACTTCCACACTAACTTACCTCTGATGGTTTCTTGTGCTGGAGGCGGACCCATGTGCTGCTGGTGACCGTATTCTTGGATGACCTCGACCACGACGTCATCTGACCTGCAGAAACAGAATAAAAGGAAGAGCATACTCAGTGTAATAAGAACCACCAAACGTCTATTTCAATTGTACTCAATAAGTATTTTTTTGAAAACCAAAACGTGCACATCTTTCTTGTTGACAAATGAGCACAGCTTGGGACCCAGTTGTAAAGACAACAGTGTTCAGTCATCTGGAGCAGAACATCAGACAAACTTAATCTGTGTTTCATTTGTAAAGAATGTGCATTCATGAGTGTGAATCTTGATTTAAAGTGGGGGGGGGAAATGAAGAACAGGTCTCTGGCTCTGGATCAGACTTCATGTTCACAGCGTGCGTTCAAATTTAATCCAAGGACACTTTATTGTCCCATTGGAGAAATTGGTTTTGCAGAGAGGGTTTACAACACAAATACAATAAAAACACAGCCATCATGAACCAGCAGCAAATTACTTAATATAGAGCAAAAAGCGGCTCATTGTTTTTTAAGTGTTCTTAAAATGTGATATAATTCAAGGGCTTTGATGAATCTGATGGAGGCAGTTCAAACAATGCAGAGAAGCACTAAAAGAAATCAGCCAAAAAGACCTTGCCCGTGACTTTTTGACGCCCATGGCAGTACTACCACTGAGTGAGCTCTTTAATTGAAGCCGACTGATGATGATCTATTAAGAGGTTTAATAAGTAATGACAGTATAAATAGCATCTTGTTAAGCAGTTAGTCCACTGTGGTCTTTACAACCTCATTAATACACAACTTAATGGCAATTAACTGAGTCTGCAGCCAATATCCCACCCACCGCTTCAATCAGCAGCCCTGTATGTGTTTTCTGGTGCCATATAATTGAACAGAGTGTCTATTTGTAATTGAATTTGATGCTGTTTTTTTCTATATATGTTTTAAATTACATAACCATGCATCAGATAGCCAGAAGCTCATTTGTATCTGTGCACCGCAAAGGAGGCTGTCATTAAATATTACATCACATTGGCAATTAAGTTACATCAGTGATCACACAGGCATAATGGAAAACTCAAATATTCCAATACTGTGTAATATAGCACATTGTGACCATGACTGTGTGTGTTCATTTATGTGTGCATGTGTGTGCATGCGTGTGTGCTGCCTCCCACTCAACATATTTCCCCGACACCACAGCAGTGCTGCCACCGTGCTAATTTTACTTGTGACGTCTAAACAACTAACAGCACAGAGGGCAGAACTGCTGTCAGACTTTTCTACAAAATTACAGACTGCCTCTCTCTCTACACACACCTACAGACATACATAACTCACACTTAAACATATACAGTGTGCTGTACATAAACATGTTAACACTTCCTCGTATTTATCACATATGCATGCTTATAGTCACAGTTTCTCCCACCATCACACACATGTTGCATGCATTGATGTCTCAAACTCTCAGTTGCACAGTTTCATATACTCACACAAAAACACACTTTAACTTTAAAGTGAATTGACAGCCATGTTTGGGTTTGATCACATTATTTACAAATTGATCCTCCATTCATGTCACATGGACACTGGCCATTAGAAATTAATGTGGAGGGAAGCCATTTCACAATTTAAGAGGCGTATTTGTGAAACTATGTAGCTATTTTTTGTGAGACTGGATTGGACTACCACCTCCCAGCTTGCGTATGTGTGTGTGTGTGTGTGAAAGAGAGTGTCTAAAGAATAAAAGAGACTCTACTTTGCTCAAGACAAACACATTAAATGAAAAAAAAAAACAGTTAGAGGGATGGGGTGGCATTTTAAATGTGTTTATCTATGCTGTTGAATGCACATTATCTAGAGACATCTGTGGGAGTACTGTCTGCACTCAACTATAGTGTGTGTGTGTGTGTGTGTGTGTGTGTGTGTGTGTGTGTGTGTGTGTGTGTGTGTGTGTGTGTGTGTGTGTGTGTGTGTGTGTGTGTGTGTGTGAGATATCTACATGCCCCACGAGACAGCTGCACCTCATCATCACTGTGTGGCCAGATAACGGAGCGGGCCGCAGCGCAGTGGGAGGTTACCATCATGGCCGTGTGTTAATTAAAAGCCCTGCTTGGTGCATGGCAGGCAAAATTATCATGGGCATCCTTCAATTAGAAACCTGATAACCTCCAGTCAGCAGATGCAGCTGGAGCCCACGCTGCACTGGCCAGAGGAAGCTAACAGCTAACGGCTAATTATAAAGCGAAGAGTGCGGCCGTCAGCACAGGGTGGCTCAGTCAGGTCTGAAAAGGCTGCCTGTTAAACCTGCTGTAAAATCATTTATACATGCAGACCTGTGACCACATAACACTTAAACCTGCACGAGGTCACTTCCATGTGGTCGCCCCGGCTACAGTTAAACTGGGTTTTTTTATAGGTTTAAACCATTAAATTACACAGAATTCCTCTATTTACAGATGTAAATCTTGATGAGTATATATCTTATAAGGAAAAGGTTATTTTAAGAATGTTTTTAACTTCCATAAGCAATTATCTGGACTGTTTCTGACAGATACATTTTTAATTTGTTGAATTTCCTTTTACATTGTAATGGGACATTTTTTGTTTTTGCAATTCTCCAAAAAGAGAAAAAATATGTAGATAAATCTTGAAAATGGTATATTCTGAAATAAAGAAAAATGTGCCAAAAGAAAACTGAGAATACCTTGTCTATATGTCAATTCATACGTCTAGCTGAGGGAGACTCTAGAAGAGTGCATCAGTAGAACAAACACTCGTGGTTAATCCAAAAATCGAATTAAAAAGGTTTTAAAAGGCAGATTAAGCCACTTTATTTTGGTTTGTTATGTTACCCTGGATAAACTAAGTTAACCTAGGAGAAGAAGTAAAATAATCAGTTTAGAAAAGCTTTTAGGATAACAAAAAAGTGAAAATAAGATCCTCTCTTGATTCAACAGATTGTTTGGCTGATATGTCAGTGTCAGATGTTAGCCAAACGACTATTTTTACCTGTTATCTTAAAATGCACACTTCAAAATGCCAAGAATTACTCATCTTGATCTGCCAATAGCCAAAAAGAATGACATTCAATATTAATTTTCAATCGCTGGCCGTCTTTAATGCCAAAATGTTCCTATTGTTCTGACAGCTGTGAGAGCCAAGTGTGCTTGTGTAGAACTGTCCCGCTGTTCAAAGACTGTTTACAATCAAAATGATTTTCCAGCAGAAGCTGCCAGAGTTGTAATGTGTTGGACTGGCCAGATGTTCCCGTCACCGTGCACTGTATCTCTCTCTCATGGCCGACTGTCTGTCTCGTACAATGTATATAAAAGACGTTTAAACATCAATGTGTTTCTATACACAAAGTCTGTCTCAGGGGTTGTGTTGAGTCTGTGTCAAATCCTAAATCGAATGTGTATTTTTCAGTGTAGAAAAGGCAACATTTTCCCAGATGTGAGATGCAGGTTTTATTCAATTTCTTAATGTAAAAGCCGCGTCATTTACTAAAGCTGCAGCCATCAAGCAGTCAGCTTTTAGAGGCAATGAGGCGCAAATCAGCTTTAGGATTTGACTGAGGTTATCAAACTCGCAAAATAAAATGACATGATATGAAACATTTCATTCACTCTGTGCAACACCACCGGAGGACCAGTTGAAGAGATGTTTTACTGAGGAAAACTCAGCAAAATCCAATTTAACAAACACAAATCATAATTTCTTGCCTCTTTATCATTTGCCTTTACAAATAAAGAGATATAATTCAGGATTATTGCTTAGTTCTACTGTCTAAGAATCTACTCTTACTTATATGTAGGCGTATATTTCTGTTTCTTTATATTAAATAACTGATTCAGTGGCGTTCTTAAGTGCCTATTACTCTTTGTCTGATGTGATTTCTATAGAATAAAGGTTACTTCATTTTGATTTTACCACTTCTTTCTTTCTTGTGGCTAGTATAAATCTCTCTTGCACAGTCTTTACACCTGCAAGGGCAAGGGTTTTTCAAAACCTAAGACATTCATTTTCTCTTAAAAGCAGCCCTTGTTCTTGATCTTGCATAAAAGCTGCTTGGGCTACATATTCATATTTATATTGGAGACATGTTTTAAAAAGGAAAAAGTGTTAATGAGTAGAAAAGGGACGGAAAGAAAAATGTATGTAAGAAATACCCTGAGGGAGTTGACTTAAACAAAGCATCTGACTGCACAACAGCAGCACAGGCACTCACTTTTTGACACTTCCAGGTTTCTTACTCACACACCCACACACACACACACCCACACACACATCCCTCCCTCCTCTTCCCTGATTCTCTCTCTTCAACTTACTGTCGGTGGTGTCGGAGTCGTTGCTGCTCGTGGAGTATTTCCTCCTCTTCTTTTCGCTCTCCATCTGTCAGGGTGGCAGAGAGGGAGGGATGAGTGGGGGGAGGCAAGACAGAGAGAGAGAGAGAGAGAGAGAGAGAGAGAGAGAGAGAGAGAGAGAGAGAGAGAGAGAGAGAGAGAGAGAGAGAGAGAGAGAGAGAGAGAGAGAGAGAGAGAAGAATTACGAGTGAGAAGATGTTCACCATGAAAACACAAGTGTTAATGAAATAATGCGCTGATGGCACCAATCTGTCAGAGCCTCCAGCCGGCAGCCTGCCAGAGTAAACTGACTTGATCTGCGTTTACACATGAGCGCCTCGGACCCTCGTCACAATGATACAGTTGTTCTGTTTCTGCACATACAGTGGGAGTCCTTGTATATGTGGGCTGTAAATTCCTCCTGCAGTATTCACTAGAAGCTATTGTAAAGGTCCCCATCCGTGCATACTGTAGGTACTTCTTTCTTCATTATGTTACAAAGGAAAAACATACTTAACCAGCTCTAACAGGACACCCTTTGAAGTGTTGCAGCAGAAGACAAGAACCCTTTTTTTCTGTGTTTCTATATGAATAAGGAAATTCAAAAGCCACCTTCATATTGTGATAAGAACATCTATTTAACAAACACATTGAATTCAGCCAGATGACTACAGGATTAACTTTTCAACTACAGTTCATCCACAAACTACAATGACAGACTATTTCAACATTGTATCTGCAATAAAAATGTGCTTTCTTGTATCTTTGGAACGAGGTGTGCATTAGCAGAAAGCAGGGCAGGAAAACTAAATGCATTCAACAACAAGTTGGTTAGATCTTAAGGATACACACAATGTGTTTTGGTGAGTAACACTGAATGTAAACATAACTTTTTTACAACAAAGCAGAAGTTGTTACAAAAACACCTAACAGCAACACTACATTCAACAGGCGTAAAGGTCCCCTATAAAACTATTTTTTTAACAATATATTATAGGTCTCAGATATATACAAAGACTGGCAGGTTTTTATATTGTTGGAGTAGAACAAAAAGAGAGGATATTTTTTCATGAAACTTTCCGAATCCCTTAACACAGAGGGGACAGATATTTACTGTATGTATAAAAGATGTGAAAAAGTGGATTTTGCATAATAGGTGACCTAAATTACATATATTTTGAGTGATAAAAGTGATGAAAGGTGATCATGTGTTCAAAGTGTTGCAAAGAGAATGCCATCAGAATTACATTCACATGTTATGACTAGTGGTGTTTTCCACACTCGTAAGATTGATTTGTTGATTGATTTAAACAGGCATTATGAAAAGCACCACTTAAAATGGTCTGTTTTGCAGAGAAAAAGTATCTTGGTTTAAAAAATATTCATACTTAGGAGGGTCCCTGACAAAGGTTTTAAGTGGGGAAAAAGGGAAAATATATCAATGAGGCAAAAAAAAAAACAGCCTCAAGAAATGTTTTTATAGGCTTGCACTGGTTGCATGAGGGTCAATGGAAGAATATATAAAGTGGCACTTAGAGGGGAAAAAGGAGGGCATGGGTCAATAGAGTCTGAAAGAGAGAGAAATGAAGCAAAAGAGAGCGGCAGACAGAGTCAAGAAGTCAAAAGGAGGTTTTAGCGAACCGCTACACCGAGGAAGGAAGGCCAAAAGAGGAGGAGGTGGGTTACAACCTCCAGTGTGGGGAACAGAGATTTATGTGGCTATAAAACTGGGCTATTCCCTCTTATACGGGGCTCTTCCTGTATCCCGGCCCCCCCGCCTGCCCTGCACACACTTAACTACTCTGACATTTATGCTGACAGAAAAACACAGCGCTTCTCCGCTGCCTCTGACTATTTCCATTCCCAAGTCCTTCCATCTTACTCGTTTCCACTTTCTCCTTTAGGTCCCCCCATCCTATCTTCTCTTCCTTACAATAACAGGGACACAAGGAGTCTGCAGAGTAAGGTTAAGCACATTATTGACTTCCAAAGCCTCCCTCTCGCTTCTCTCTCTATCCATCTTTCCCCCCCATCTGTCTTGCTCACCCTCGTCTTCCTGCCTTTGAGGAGAGTTGTTAAGTACATCATTGACTTCCTCCACTATGCTACGTCTGTCTGACTTCAAGTCTGCACGCTTGGATTTATCTCAGGGTTTCCCCTCGCCTGTTAAACTCTGAGGCGACCCACTTAAACCACACTCAGGGTACCAGGGTTTTTTTTTTCAGCCCAGTCAAGTTTTTCCCCTGACCACCCAAAGGAAAATGTGAACAGTAAGAAAAAATGTGCTATAAAAAAGGATCTATTTGTTACACCGGACTTCTAAATGGATTGCTTTAAAATGTTATTAGAAGCATTTACAAGAACAGGGTATTATGTGGCGGAAAGGACCACAGCTTTACAAAACAAGAAGTATTAAAGGGCATGAGAACTAGAAATGTTATCGGTTCTTGTTTCTGATTTAACCAACCTGGTTTACCCACATATTTGATACGTATGGCTAGAGCTGTGGAGGGTTTTGTGTTATGATTAGTCAAATTAAGCCAGGTTCGATCGATCAATGTGAATGCTTTGATTTGCATTGTTGCATTACTATTAAGAGACTCGTACAAGATTTAAAAATGGAGAAATCAGGTCAGGCAGCTATCTGCAGGCCTTTTTAATGCTTCTAAAATGTTGTAAACTCAATTGTTTTAGTTTGTGAGTCAAGAAGTCAAGAAGTCAAGAAGGAGCTATGAGCAATTTTTGCTATGCAAGTCCTAACGTAGCTCCAAGGGTGAAACTTGTCTCTTTTCTTGCTCTCTCTATTACCCATAAATGCAGAAAGCTCAGTTGAATTCCCAGAGAAACTCCATCAAATAGGCTACACATACTAGAGCTCGAGGGTGAGACATTTGTAGAGTCGTAGTGCTGGCTCCCAGAAGATTTTAGAGATCAACAGTCAGTCAAGCGCAATAGGCCTTTCTGACATTTCACAGTAGGAACATGTTTCACAGTAAGAAAAATGCAGGTGTATAACATTAATGATGGTGGAATTCCATAAACCTCGACATAGTTATTTATTTTGCAAAACACCAACACACAAAACAGAGCTTTTCAAATCTGCACTCTAAGAATTACAGATCTGATATCAAATACTATTGTATAAAAATCTCAATAACTTTGGTGGAAGTACTTTTAAATGTGATAGAATTTTAAATAATTGAGTTTGTCAGGCTGGCATGTTTATTTAAAATGCCACTTTGGGACAAAACTATTACCTGAAGTGCATTATTCACTAGAGATGTCCCGATCCGATCACGTGATCGGGGATCGGAGCCGATTACGTGATTTTCAAAAGATCGGAATCGGGAGAAAAGAATCGGGGATCGGGAATTTTCATGTTCACGTCTTAAAGTCATCCTGAGGCCTTAGTTTTGGTTTAAAATTACACATCATGTATGTGTTGCTTCTTTTGGGCTTGTTTTCATAGACCTGGTTGCTTATTTCTCTCAAATCTGACAACAGAGTGGGCGCAGTGTCTAATAGTAGCAATAAGCTAACAAGAGGCTACGTTCAGCTGGTGACTCGGGACTCGGGACAGAGAAAATGTCAGGAGTTTGGAAGTATTATAAAATTGAAAGCGAAGGCAGTGTAACAGCCAGATGCAATGTTTGCAAGGCGGAGGTTCCGCGTGGTGGAAAGAACAGAGCTACGTTCAACATGACCAATCTAATACAAACACCAACAACAACACGACGAGTACACAGCGGCCACTCAGGTAACGGCACTGAAACAACCGACACTTTCAGAGACTTTTAAAAGGAAAGAGAAACTGCCCCAGAACAGTGAAAAGGCCAAAAGAATAACAGCCAAGATAGCTGAATTCATCGCGTTGGATGACCAGCCGTTATCTGTTATCTTTTTTTTCTCTTAATGCATTGCATAAAGATCGGATCGGGAAAAATCGGTATCGGCAGATTGTCAAAATCAAATGATCGGAATCGGATCGGGAGCAAAAAAAAGTGATCGGGACATCCCTATTATTCACCTTTCCCTGTTCATCAAGTTCCTAAGTAGGCTGCTGCTGCTTGAAAACGTGCATTATATTTATTATTAAGGCACTGAAGACACTGTTGTATGCCATATATTTCATAGCGGGTTTTGTATTTAATAGATGGTTGTCACTTTAGTTTGGAAGAAAAAATACATTAAGTCAACCACACCCACGTCTCCAAAGAGAGGGAACGTTTTCACACTGACATATCAATGGGTTTGTGGCTAGCTGCTGACATTTGGTTTTCATTTGGTTTGCTGACAACGCTAACCAACCGTTGCTTGGTAAAGTGCGAAAATCCAGAGAAGCATTCCCTGTTGTGTGGAGACGGGCCTTTTGATTCTCCCTATGATCTTGTTTTTTTTGTTGTTCCTTTTGTTACAGCAGCTGTTGATTTTTGTACCATGTCTGTAGCGGTTTTGGTTCCACTTTTTGGAAAGAGTTTTATTGAACACAAACTCCAAGCATAAGCCGAACACTTGCTGGATTGTATGCATACTCCAAAGGGAAAATTGGACTTAAATCTGATGATTTTCTCTCTGTGCTGCACTTTTTCTTTTGCAACACTGCGTTTTCTTGCCGTTTTGACCAGATTCGAGGACCACCAACCACTGTGACAAAATTGTTGGTGCTTAAGTTGTTAAGTCAACTAGCCACAGACTGTGCCATTGTAAAATGGTTACCAATAAATGTGTTTTCATGCCATTTATTGACTTTTTTATATTAATGCCCACTAACTGATAATTGCAACATGTCTATTTCAGGCCTTTTCTGTCTGCTGGTATCTTTAGTGACCAGATTCAGTGTCTCTGTCACATAGCTGTCATGGCAGCTGAACCTTTGATTGTAAGCTGACAGGACAGTCTCTTTAACCTCTTGTCCTGGTGGCAGCCCGGTATTTCTGAATGCTCATGTAAAAATGGAGAACCACTGGCCCGTTAAAGTGAAAGAACTGATGGTAATTGGAAATGTCAGTGTATCTGCTTAAAATCCCCCACCCTTCATTTTTGGAGCAG